TTGCTCTGGAGGGTTGGCAATCAGGGGCCTGCGGCCTTGAGAAGCAAGGACGCCGCCCATTTGTTGGGGTGCCATGTTTACGTTCACCGAATTGGCTGCGGAACTGGAAGAAAAGCCTCACCCAAAATCCCTTTGAAAGCGGGACCAAGACGAAGCCGCTGCCAATTCTATTTTGGGCACTCCCCCTTGTCTTGTAAAGCAAAGCAACAGCTTGCCATGAACAATATACAAACTAGTCTACAGCAGTGAAGGAGATGACATGGGGTACTGTCACCAAATTCAGAAGCCTATATTGGTTGACAGTCAAGGAATCAAAAGACCCAGCTTTGATATGAGCAATACGCTTGACGCCCTAAGTGTTGCAAGTGCGAAACAAGGGAAGCCCGGGCTTTGAGTTACGTGTACTTGCAACATTTACCCGTAATACCAAATTCTGCACAAGGCGGTTCTGCTTGCCGTTAAACTAGCTGTGACCGAACATGTGGCAGTCTCCAGCCCCTCACCGAGGCCGGTAGAGACGAGCCCCGACGGATGGGCCACCGTGGTGGACGGCGATGCGCGTCGCAAGGCCCTGGTAGGCAGGAGTCACCTGACTTGAGCGGAATGGATTTGTAATGTCATAGATCACAAGTTGGATAATTTTATACAAGTCACCTAGAAGGACACCAAGAAAGCAGAAGAAACCAGCGACCCCCAGTTCAGACAGCCGATGCCTGGCCGCCTGCATTCGAATACCCGGTGCTTCAGGCCGCAGCGGCACTGATTCTGCCTACGTGGCCACAGGGGGTGTGGCCCAGAAACAGGGGCCGGGACGCCCAATCGGAAACGCCATGCGGTTTTCCACTTGGGTTGGTTGTTTTGCGTTGATTTATAGATCCTTTTGTGAATCAGCCACCCCCCACATCCAGCAAATGACCATTGCAAATGGGAACACCTAGCTCCACTTTTGGATTTCATTGACCACCAATTCCTTGGACCCAGGCCCCTCACAAAAGGGCAGGCACACCCTATCCTGCCCATTGCGAGGCGATCTGCCATTGACAACACGGTGCTCCGAAACGTGTTCTTCCCATGGGAGGCGGGCAAGTTCTTCACTTTGTGCTACACATCAAGTGTTTCCCGGAGCATTTCCATCCTTGATGCATTCCTTGGGTGTTTTTCAGCACGACGTGACACACCCGCAAGGCGAGGGAGCTGTTGGTGGGGCGATTGCTCCGGAAGTTCCTCTCCCGGCTGCTTTCGCTGCGCCAGCGCCGCTGGTCTTGATAGCGAGGATGTGGGCCTCTGATTTCTCTTGAGCGCTTGGGAGTTGGATGTGCATGAGTTCTTCATAGATGTTTTTGTGCATGATGGTATGCAATCACCATGAGATAATGGCGAACTTCGCAATTGGTTGAGCCTGACACATCAGGAACCAAATGGTTGTGTAATTCGAAGTTACCCCTTTGGGTCCCTCATAAAGGGACACCCCTTTTTGGTTGGATCTCCCTTTCAGACCGACCCAAATCCCCATGTCAGCCAGGACCCCTTCTGCAACCCCCCCCTCCCTTGGCTCGAGGCTGCCTGCTGCGCAAATTGTCGCAGCGTTTGGGCCTCGACATCTTGCGCCTGGCCCACGACTCCCGGAGCCACCACACAGTGCGCTGCGTGCTGGCGGCTATCCCGGAGGAGGAGTTCAAGGCCTTCGGGGGTGGGCGAAGGGCAATTCTAGGGGTACCTTCCCACGTTCTTTCCAGGGATCCTTCTTTTCAGGAAACCATCAAACACCGAGGTTTGAAAAGAACGATGGTTGCACTTTGCCAAAGCAAAGGGAGCTTCTGATCTTGAGTTTGGGCAATGTGATGCAGGATAGTCACTGGGGGAATGCTTATGTGGATCGAATGTCCACTTGTTGACCCCCCCATTTTTGTTTTGAGGTGGCGCCTCTCATTTTGTTGGTTCAGGAAAATTGGCAAATTGACATGGCTGTGGGTCAAAACCAAAAGTACCAATTTGGGGTAGGTGAATTAGCCACGCATTTGTAGAACCAATTTTAGTGGGGATTGGGATGTTCACTGGGGCTAACGATTTGGCTTTTGACCCATGGCAAAATTGAGAGCACTATGTTGGTTTGCCAATGTGTCAGCTTGGCCATGGCCACATTGTCCAGAAACCCAACCACCAAAATCGACTAAACTGCTGCACCTACCAAAATGGGATCCCAAAACGGTTTTGACCACAGCCGCATGGACGTCGCAGGGTTTCGGGGTTCCTCGCGAGGCCCTGGGCTTCAACCCCTCGGACCGGCTGCTGCAGCTGCTGCGCCGCAGCGGCGCGGAGGTGGCGGGCTTCGGGCAGCTGGACGAGGCCATGCAGAGGACGGGCTCGGTGGAATTTCTGTGGGGGCCGGGGGTTTTCGTTGGAGGAAGGTTGGGAAGTGGTTTTTCGAGGCCGGTGAATTTGTTGGTATTTTGATGGCAACCTGAAAGGTGAGCATTTGAGTCTGATAGTTGGAGCTGGGTGGAATTGAGGTGAAGCAATTGTGGTCAGACCCCTTGATGGTCCAATACAAAAGGAAAGGCACATTGAGGCCTTATCGTTTGGATTTAGTCCAAGTAGTTTGGCAGCGGACCCACGAGAGAGGAGGGGGTGGTGGTGGTTTGTGTTTTGGCCCGGGCAATCTCATGTTCCGATGCCGCATTAGATGTGAATTTGACTTTTTTTGAAGGGAAAGCCAGCCTGCAGACTCAATATGTCAGGCTGAACTGTAGTTTTCTGCGTTGTCATCTTTTCCACTCTCTCTCTCTCTCTCTAAGCATCCTGCCTCTCAGGAGGTAGCCAAGCAACCAACAAAAACATCGGACTTTGTCTGTGGAACTCAGAGATGGGCACCGGGAATGGTTGGACAAGTCTCTTGGAATCGACAGACACGCACCCATCGAGTTCTATTTGTCGTTTTTTTGGGCTATATTTGGATACGACATTTGAGAGAATGCGAAGATCAATCCTTGACAGCTGCGGAATGCAGGAGCGTGTGGGAGGCCGCGAAAACGCTGCTGAAGGAAAGGGCGCCCCCCTTAGCGGTGCAGCCACCGGAGGGCTCGCCGCCCGACATCTTCGCCAGGCCGCGTGGAGTTTCCATGGGATCCGGGTGTGCAAGCTTTTTATAGACACGGTACCAGCTCTGGCCCGAGCACCTCCCGGTGGTAGAGCCGGTGAACAGCGAAGCTTGGGAGGCGCCATGGACACAGGTCTGACCAGCCTTGCTCTCGGCAGCAGGGCCACTTTGGTGGCGCGGGCGATCGCCGCCAACACAGAGTCGGGCACGGAGATGATGGGGCTTTGCCCTGAGCAGCGCTTCCTCGTGGACGCCCACATCGATCAGGACACGCTGGTCACTATCTACAACGCGGAGCTTTCGGCCGCTGGGCAATTGCCTCGGCTTCATTTGGACAATCATGCGGGATGGATCGCCCATTTGAAGCCCACCCATGGGGCTTTCTTCCAGCTCAAAGAGCTCTGCGCCGGTCTTGGTGGCTTCTCTCAGGGAGCCAACTTCGTGGGAATCAAAACGGTCGCCTGCCTCGACCACAGCCGGCTGGCATGCGATGCACTTCGGCTCCAGGGCCATGAGGTGGTGCATGCCCAGATGGAGGACATGGAGGCGCTCTTCAAGTTCCACCAAATCGGATTGGCTCAACCATGCCTGCTTTCGGCAGGCTTTCCATGCCAGCCATACAGTGCCCAGGGGGACCAGCAAGGAATGCGTGACAGCCGGGGGCAAACACTGATCTCCATCTTGAAGGCCTCCTGGTATTTGCAATCCGTGGGCCTCATCCTGGAATGCGTGCACAATGCCCGACACAATGTGGACGTGCAGAACCTCCTCGCGCAATATGCCAACTTACGAAGATGGCAAGTACACCACGTCACCCTTGACCTGCAAGACCAATGGGCCAGCAAGCGCAAGCGATGGTGGTGCATCATGATCCCAAAAGACTCACGAGTGCCCTTTTCTATGCACCCGTGGCCCAGCACCAATCCTTTTCCCAACGTGGGATCAGTCATTCAGGAGTGGCCTGTTTGGAGCAATGCTGATGAGTCCAACCTTCAGTGGACATCGGAGGAGGAGCAGAAGTACGGCGATCCTCAGTATGGCAGGGATCTGCGCCACCTCAACACAGCAGCACCTGCGCCAACGGCATTGCACTCGTGGGGGGTGGCCTTACAGGCCTGTCCTTGTGGATGCCGATCCGGGCCGCTCTCCGACACCCGACTGCGGCAACACGGCCTCCGTGGATTTTCGGTCATCTCCAGCAGCACCGGCAAGAAGCGCTTCCTGCACCCGGGCGAAGCAGGTTTCCTGAACACCCTGATGCCTTCAACACCCCTCCCTGGACCGGCCAGGCATGCTCTGTGCCTAATCGGACAACTGGCAGCACCCTTGCAGGCGGTTTGGGTTTTCGGCCACATCGTCAACTGGGTTATCCATATCAACACTGGACGCCCAAAGCGCTCGCCAGTTGGAATGATCCAGGAGTACCAACACAAGCTCCTGCAAGACCGGCTTCTATGCTGGACCACACCGTCCATGTTCATGCCGCGCACCCTCACCCTCACTGAGGACGGAGAACCCGATGCCCTGATCACGCTAGACAAGCCAACTACTCTGGCTCAGCTCAAGAAGGCTGAAACCTCGCTCCAAGGGTGGGGAGCAGCAATCCGTGTCTACCCAGCCGGTTACAACAAAACCGACAATGAGCTGATCACCAGCGCAACAGACCGGCTTGAGTGCGCAGTCAGCCGCTCCACCAAACGCCAGGTACGCAACTACTACGAGACGGCTTCCTCCACTCGCCTCCGGGCAGCCGGACTGGCCACAGCCGACCAGACTTGGGATGACCTTGCGGTCCTCACCAACATCCACAATCTCATCAACTACAACGCCTGTCTTGATCCCCGTCCATGGACCGTCATCACGCCACACCAGGCACACGCACTGCTTGGGAACACCACTGTCCATTCTCGCGTCCACGACGACATCCGGGTTCCCCACACGGATCGCCTGGTCATTATTTTCCCTTGCAACCAGCACTGGACGCTGCTCACTTGCGAGCAGGAAAACAACCACACCCTGGCCACTTGCTGGGACAGGCCAGACTCACCAAACACAGCAGCTGCTCTCAAGCTTGCCACCGATCTCACAGCTATGTACGATTGGCCACCCATCCACTTCCAGCAACAACATGTCTTCGGCTCTGCCTGTGAAGGAGACTGTGGCGCAATTGCTGCTGCCCACTTTGGGTGGCACCTCCAACTGTGGGACCACATTACTCAAGCCCACCTCAGACGATGGCACCACTCCTTCGCCACGCTTAGCCAGCCTGGTGAACTCCGAGCAGGCGGCCCGCTCCTACCCAGCACACACTCCGAACTCAAAGACATCCTCATCTCAAAAGGAGTCCCAGAAGACGCCGCGCAGGACAGGACCGACCAGGCAATTGCCAAGCTCGGCACTGGGCCCATCCAAAAGGCCCTGAAAGACAAAAACTGCTGGCAAGCACTCAAAGCATTAGCATCCAGACCGGCTACCAGGTTCCGCTGGATTCTATACGACGAACTACAGGACCACGTTGCATCACGGGCCAGCTCCGAACACGGAGCGTACATCCCAGCAGCCAAAAACAAAAAAGCCAAGCAGGGCTACAAGCCTCACAACCAGCCCGAACTCCACGTTGATCCCAACCAGCTCATCGTCCCCGACGGCATCTTCACAGATGACGAGGACAACAAAATCAGCCAGATTCCTCTTGCTGAAGTCAGCGCCAACAAGAGAGGCTTTGCCATCACTACAGTCGCCGATGCTATGCACTTCATCAACGACGCCCAGAGCATTTCCACGGATGCCCTTGCCATCATTACTACCTCTGAGCTCCCCACGCAGCACTGTGCAGCAAGCCGAAACCATTCGGTTCCCGGCGGTCTACACCGGGACCAACGAACCTGTCCTCCTGACAGGGAGCCTCATCCAGATCGGCGACATGACGGTCAAGCGAGTCACCAAATCCGCCGAACCCCTCCAGGATGAGATCGCCACAGCTACGATTCGGGTCAGCGTCTTTGCCGACGAGTGCCCTCACGACTGGCAGGCTTTCGTCAAAGCCCCGATCAAGTCCATCGTCAAGAACACGCCACTGCTCCAGAAGTGCCCAGAAGCATCCTGTAGCGGCAGATGTGGCAAATTCCACCCGGCCATCGAGGAACCCGTCGACTATGTCATACAAGACGTGTGGGCTTGGACTTATGCCTCGGCAGATGGAAAACGGACTGCCATCGAGCACTGTGTCCTCTTCCATGCGCACATCCGGGTACCAGAATCAGCCAGCCCACTCCTCCAGACCGTCTCTGGCAACAACGGCACTTACTTCGATCCACGTGCCCCTGATGGCAGAGCCATTGACCCACGATACACCGTGATCTGGCTGCCAGGCGCCAACATCCAGGATGCCAAACACCGGGCTCGCACATGCGACTCTGCCTTGGCCATCACTCGGCTCGGCAACAAATTCGGCATTTTTGCCCAACTCCGACCCGGACACGAATATGTGCAGGTCAAGATCCAAAGCATCTACCGACTTTTTCCCCTGCCACACGGGATTCAGCGCAATGGCATCACCCAACTTCTGACACAGTGGGGATGGAGTGCGCGCCCAGTCAAAGACGTTGGTCCAAAATCCAGCAGCAGTTCTACCTTGTGCGCCACTGGGCGCACCAGAAAGCATATCCAGCAAGGAGCCACCTCCAACCCCACCACTGCCGGCCCTCAACAGGACCCATGGCTCCTCGGCGGCGATCCATGGGCAAAATGGCACCACGCCAGCGGGGACATCACCATGTCACCAGTCGTCCCGCAACAGTCGGCCACCAGCTCCAAGAAAATCGACCAACTCGGCACGGCCCTCAAACAGGACATGCAGGAAGCCATACGCACGGAGGTAGCTAAAAACGCGGATGCCTCGAAGCTCATGCAACTCGAGGTCAGTGTCCAAGAGCTCCGCGACCAAGGCAAACGCTTCGAAAACTGGTTCCACGAGGTCAGCCAACATGGCCAGAAGCAGGGAGAAGACCTCAAGCTTCTGCAACAGGTCGTCACACAGCAGCAAGGCGACCTCACCGAGGTCAAACAACAAATCCGCAGCCAGGGAGACGCGCTCCAAGCCGCTGTTGGCAACATCAAGCACGACCTCTCCTCCCAGATCGACACGCAGTTCCAACGCTTTGAGGCCCTACTGGCCAAAAAAGCACGCACCGATTGACTAAGTCAGCCCGGATCCCGGAAGCGACCCTCCGGGAAGCCGGCTATGATCACAGGTCGCACCAGTCGCCTGATCCCCACCGCTGTGCTTTGGATTTCGCAGCTCTGCTCTTGCGCGGCTACGCCCATGCCTTACCTGGGAGAACCCTGTGCCCTGCTCTACTATAACAGCGCGAAGGTTTCCGGTCTGGAAACCTCTTGCGAGTCTGGGTCCGGGGGACACCCATGGGAGGGCAACCACAACCGGCACGCAGTGTGCTTTGCAACTGCTGCCAACGACCACCATCATGCTCGCCTCTATCGAATCGGGGAAGCACACAACCCTGGACCAACCTGGCCGCTCCCTCCCACTGAGGAGCTTCTGGCTGTGGGTACCACAAACCCCTCGGGATTGAACGGCAAGGAGGACCTCCAAATCCAACAAGGCCCAGGAATTTGGCATCTCGCCGAAACACAACTGTCCCATGTCACGGGACCCATTGTGCGCAGAAAACTCGCGCAGCTCGGCCGTGCCCAACAGCGGCAGGTCCGATGCATTGAGGGTGCTCCTGCTCCGCTCAGAGCGCACTCCCACTGGGCTGGATCATGGACTGGAGTGCTCATCGCTACAGACCTTCCAGCACGACCCCTCACTCTGCCCTGGGACGCCGGCGTCTTTGAGACCGGCAGAGTCACCACGGCCAGGCACATCTTCGACGGTGTGCCTATCACTACGACCGCCGTATACGGCTTCCCACCGGGCCCAACTTACCCGGACGCCCGTGCTCTCACAGATCGCCTGTTAGCCACCATCACACGTGAAATAGTGGTCGGACTCCAAGGAGTCCGGGTGGTGGCTGGAGACTTCAACCACGATGAGTCTACCCTACCACAAATCGCCCTCTGGAAGCAACACGGCTGGGTAGAGGCACAGCAGCTTGCCTTGGCCCTTTGGCAGCAACAGCCCCAGCCAACGTGCAAGGGTGCCACCCAACGGGACCTGATCTTTCTTTCGCCCGAGGCAGCCGCCTTGACACAACGCGTCCGAATAAAAGACGTTTACATGGAACACTCCTCGGTCATCGTCGATCTGTGGACCAAGGCCCAGCAGCAACAAATTCGAAGGTGGCGACAACCAGCCGCCATCCCATGGGGCTCCATCAACATCCCAGGATGGCACTCCGCCAGCCTTGCCCCCGTCCATGAACAGGAGACATCCACTGCGTGGTACCAGCATTTTGCCTACTCCTTTGAGAACTCCCTCAACGGCTACGTAGAGCTGGACCACAACAAAGACCTGCCTCGCCGCTGCAAAGGGCGTGCCAAGTGGACAGAACCTGAGCAAGTCCACACCACGGCGCATGCCATCAAATCAAGCCGCCCAGGTGAGGAGATCATCATGTCCAGCCTTGCCGGCACTGCTGTGCGGCAATGGTGCAAGCAACTACGACGACTCCAGAGCTATCTCCACTCACTCCGATCCAACGTGACCAGCATCAACTCCTCCCTCTACCGCGCTCAGCTCTGGGGGGCCATCACTAGGAGCTCTGGCTTTCGCGGCGGCTTTCACAACTGGTGGCCCAATCGGCAGCTGCAACTTCAAGGCAGCCCATGTAGACTGCCGTACTCACCGCCATCACTCCCCGTTGCTATCTTGATCTTTCAGGACTACCGCTCCAACTTCCGCAAATTCGAGGCCTGGCATCTACACCAACGACGCCAGGCTATCAAGCTCAAATACGACGAGCAAAGTGGAGCTCTCTACCACTACATTCGGGAGGACAGACAACCGGCCATCGACACGCTCACGATCGCTCGGGACTACACCATTTTGGCTGTAGACACGGAAAACAATTTTGTGCACCTCGACAAGGACATCTGCACCAGGGGCAATTCGGTCTGGTCCCTCCATGGAGAACCAGCCCATGTACAGGCCATTGCCTCTGATGTCGCCCAGGTCGACACCGACCGGCTTCTTTGCCCAGGGCACGGCATTGAGCAGGACTCCTTTGTCACTCACATCAATGACATCCACTCAGAGCTCATCGACCTCTGGACTTCACGTTGGAACACCTCAACCCGGCTATCCAACGAAGAGCTTACGAGAATTGCCAGCTTCGTCCAAGCCTACATCCCCAAGGGCCACTTCCCATGTGAGCCCATCACGGTCTCAATGTGGGACGACACCCTCAAGAAGTACCGCCCACACGCTGCTAAAGGAGCCGACGGATTTGCACTCCAGGACCTCCGCCAGATGCACCCGGGCCACAAGCAGCAGCTTGTCAAATGGCTCAACAGCCTCGAGGACGGCCAAACCACTTGGCCCAAACAGCTACTTCAGGGCACAGTCAGCTGCATCGCCAAGACCGCCAACTCCAAAGCAGCAGACAGTTACCGCCCAATCGTCATTTACAGCCTGATCTACCGCACTTGGGCGGCAATCCGCTCAAAGACCATCCTCAAGGGCGTCAGCCACTTGATCCACGACACAGCATATGGTTTCATGCCTGAAAAGGAGGCCATGCAATATGTCTTCGCCATGCAAGCACTTGTTGAGCTTAGCGCCCAAGCCGACCACTCGGCCGACGGACTTTGCGGATTCGCAGTCGACCTGCAACGCTGCTTTAACAACCTTCGCAGGGAACCAGTCGCCCTCATCGCGAAGGCCCTTGGCATCTCGGACAAGGTCCTCAATCCCTGGCTTGACTTTTTGCACAACAACCAGCGGCGCTTCGTCGTCCGGGGCAGCCTATCCTCCCCCATCGGATCTTCTGTCGGATTCCCCGAAGGATGCCCTTTGAGTGTTGCTGCCATGACGATGATCAACCTCAGCTTCCATCTCTACATGCAGGCATTTGCTCCGTCGACCTCAGCATATAGCTATGTTGACAACCTTGCGGCCACAGCCTACTCCCCTGCTACGTTAGCAAGAGGATGGTGTGCTCTGGAAAGCTTCTGCAATATGCTCGCCCTGCCGATCGACTACGACAAGTCCTTCGTGTGGGCCGCATCGGCTACCGACAGAAAATCGCTGCAGTCCTTCCCTTGCCGCACGGTCCGCAACGCGCGAGACTTGGGCGGCTGCATGACATACGGCAGCTCCCTACGCAACGCTGGTCTGGTGGACAGATGCCGCGGTCTCTCCGGCAAATGGCAGGCGCTTCGACGTGCGCCAGGCCCCCTGGAAGTGAAAGCCAGAACCCTGTGGACATGTTTCTGGCCGCGAGCCCTACATGGGATCGTCACTTGCCTCTTGGGCGAACAGCACATCCGGCGGCTTCGATCAGCAGCCGTAGCAGCTTTGAGTCTGAAGTGTGCAGGAGGCAATCCCATGCTGAGACTCACGCTTGCTTTACCTTTTCAAGCCGACCCCGGATTCTACCAAGCCCTCACGGTCTTCAGGGACTTTCGCCGGATTTGCCGCAAACAGCCAGCTCATGTCAACGAGTGGGCGCAATTCATGCGACAGTTTGATGGGCGCCTACTACCAGGACCTTTCTCCAAGCTGCTAGAAATCTGCGACCCGCTCAAATGGACGATCAACACTGTCCCCTATATCACCGACCATGACGGCCTTCACTTCAACTTTCTCACATGCTCGTCCAATGAGCTGACGAGCAGGCTTGAAGATGCGTGGGCGCAGCGCAACTCCATGAGCGACCTCAACGGCATCGACCACGCCTGCTCTACACGCCGGCGATCCAAGTACACACCACTCCAGGCGCGACTGGTATCAGCAGTGCAGGACGGGTCCTTTCGTGCTCCCGCTCATCATGCTCGATACGATCTGACCAAGAGCGCGCAGTGCCCACTATGCCTTGTCCCGGAGGACTACAAGCACCAGGTATGCAACTGCCCACGCTACAGGACCTGCCGTGCAGAGGACCAGTGGGTGGCCGACATGTGGGACTCTCTCCCAACCTGCGTCAGCCACCATTTGCTCGTCCCGAGAAACCCGTTTTTTGCCGGCATCAAGGAGCAGCTCCACTATACAGCTGACAGCTCTGGCGAGTTTCATCTCGAACCTGATGGCGCACAATTACAGCATGTTTTTACGGACGGTTCATGTTTTGGCCACCAAGACTCGCAGCTTGCATTAGCAGCCTGGGCGGCCATCGCACCGGATCGCGGATGTATCGCAGCAGGACATTTGTCAGGTACAGTACAGACAATCAGCCGTGCGGAGCTGACAGCAGTTATTAGCGCCATCCGGTGGACTATCAAACACAACTGCCGTACATGCGTTTGGTCGGACTCACAGTCTACCGTGCACGGAATTGACGCGCTGCTTCATGAGCCCACCGAAGCCCCGTCAGGTGAAAACGAGGACCTTTGGCACGCCGCAGCAGACTTACTCAGAACCACAACAGCCGGGACTTTTCAGATTCGCTGGATCCCATCACATCTTCAGGAAGCCGACTGTGAATCCCCTTTTGAGGAATGGGTCGCATGCGGAAACAATCAAGCTGACCATGCCGCCGTTACAGCCAACCGGAACCGATCTGCTGATTTTGTACACTTGCGCAACCAGGCCAAGCAGTTCTTCAAGCACTGGGCCGGAATCTGTGATGCGCTGGAGCGCATTTACCTTCGCATCGCACAATGTACCCGTGCTCAGGGCGAGAACCTGCAAATCGACGAACAGGAAGAACCTGATCCAGCTGAACAGCCCGGTGGGCCTCGTGTGCAATGGCATGACCGCCAAGGCATTTGGGCCGATCACCTGCCTGAGGACTGGACCTCATTTGGCGAGACAAAGCTGCTGGACCTTCCCAGTAGCTTTCTGCGGCAGTTCTTCGAGTGGCTCTTGGCCCTTGATGGGCAAAGCGAAGCTTGCGTGGATGTCAGCATGTTGGAATTAGTTTTGTTTTACCAGCACGGAGCTGGCCAGGCTTTTCCCATTGCCACACCTGATGGCAAGTATGAACATGCGACGCATGTCGCTCCGTTCGCCAGGCCTACCGTTGCTAGCCACCTGCGGTTGGTCAACCGCGTTTTGACCGCGTTTGCACGCCACTTTTCGTTGGAGGGCTTTCTTTCTTCGGGGATTGATCGCTCTTTTTTGTCGGTGCACCCTCCACAGAAAGGTGTGCGGATCGGCTGTGACCTGCACAGCATTAGCGCCATGAGACAACTCACGGCGGTTTTCACGGCCACGCGACCCATACGGGTCAGCGCGGACCTGGCACGGCCTGCCTAAAGGCGTGACAGACTCCGCTCGCTGCACTGCGCCAGCCGTGCACGAGCGATTGCGCAAGTTGGAGTATAGACACGGTACCCGTTGGCAGTTTTCGAGGTCAACCTTAAAGCGTCGCCCTTCGAGACGTGATAGTTTGATGTTCTCTTTTTGAGGCACTTGGAGCGGAATCACTGGAGCGATGTGTGAAACTCGTTGATGGCCCAACGGAAGTGTTTGCACCAAGCTGCCAGCCGGCCATGGGATTCGCGGCACCTGGTGTCGTCTGCTCCGGCGTATCAGACGCCAGGTTCGTGATCTGGAGCCGGGACTACCCCGGCGAGTTCTTTGAGCTGCTTGGCTTGATCCGCAAACCAGGGACTGACTGGGGAGCGATCTGACCGGAGGCATGACAAGCCCCAGCATGTGACGGTCTTCATTGCTGGCATGTTCTCGAGACGAATTGTGCCGCTTGCCTGAAATGAGCTGACCATTCCGCACCCGCGTCTAGCTTGTCTCGTCGTCCAGCGCAGTTTGTCAGACAGAGCCGAAAGTCAATATGGAACCCTACCAAGGGCCGTTTTTAGAGGAAGCATCGTTCTAAAACATGATGATCTTCTAGAACAGATGTACTTTTCGAGGGAAGCTGTGACAATTTCCAGCAGGGGTTCGGGGTTGAGCGCTCCAGGGTGGTCAAGCGCTCGTGCATGGAGCGCATGACCCTGGCGCGGTACTTCCCGCTGACCTGGAAGCGGCAGCAGCCCCTCTGGGGCAGCGCGTCCACCGGCCGATTCCAGGCCTTGGGGTTGGGGACATGGTCTCAGTGGGTTTCCCCGAAGTGGCACCTTCGAGTAGCCTTCGAGGCAGGTTCCACGTCCCAAAGTGGGTCTGGTGAGGCCCTTGCGCTGGGCCTCAAACGGATCCAAGGGAATCAACAAGTCCAAACTGCGTCTATGTGGAGGGGCCGTGAGTTTGGTTTGTGTGCACCTGAGCAGGGCGAGCGCCCAAACACGATGCTCTCAAGCTCTCGTTCTTATGCCACCCAAAGGTTTCCAAACCCTGTGAAGTTCGTATGTTAAGCTGAGTGCCAGCAGAAACATGTAATGGGCGATGGGGATTGATTAGCAACACTTCTTTCAGTTTATGAACAAGTCACATTGCTTGTGGGCCTCTCAATCTGTTTGTTTCCGGGCCTTTCAGAACCGAGGCGCAGCCGGTTCCTCGTTTGTCCGTCAGGTGCGCCCCGCTGGCGTCAAGGAAGCCTCCCACGTGAGGGCCAACGAGTGTGCCTGGGATCGAGGGGGGGGGAACGGTCAACAGGTTGCACAGCCTGGCTTGGCTGGGCCATAGGAGTCAAGGGTGGAGTCAAGAGAGACGCCTGAGCCGTGCGGCTGATGGTGAATACAACGTGTGCGAATGTGGGAAAAGCAGAAGAGACCTCTCCCCAATGGGTTGCTTCACGGTGCCGAATTTCCAGATCTTTTTTGCACACTTCCATTACCAAACAAGATGTGCAGCCGCCCTTTGACTCTTTCATGATTCATATGGCAGTGAATTTTTTTGAGGGGTCTGTAACAGAGCCGCGGCGGACATTCGTTACAGACCTCGTTACAGACCTCTGTAACAAGACCAGCTGGCTCGTTACACACCCCTCGTTACACACCCCTCGTGGCACACCCTCGTTACACACCCTCGTTACACACCTCAGATGAACAAACCGGGCCAGTGACATGACTGCCCTCTTTTTGCCGCAGCCTGGCTTGTGTTGAATAGCTGCAGTCAAGCTGGAGCTGCGGAGGCGCTTTGCGTACTGTGCTTTGCTTTGCCTCGTTACAGACCTCGTTACATAGCCGTCACATACCTCGTTACAGACCCAACCCCAGCCCGGGCCAGCGACCCTGCTTTTTGCTGCAGCTTTGCTTGCGTTGAATAGAGCTGCGGAGGCGTGCTTTGCGTGCTGCGCTTTGCTTTGCCTTGTTACAGACCTCGTTACATAGTCGTTACATACCTTGTTACAGACCCCCAGCCCGGGCCAGCGCCCCCCCCTTTTTGCCGCAGCTTGGCTTGCGTTGAATAGCTGGTGCTGCGGAGGCGACCCTTTGCGTACTGCGCTTTGCTTTGCCTCGTTACAGACCTCGTTACACAGCCGTTACATACCTCGTTACAGACCCAACCCCAGCCCTGGCCAGCGCCCCCCCTTTTCGCCGCAGCTTGGGTGCGTTGAATAGCTGGTGCTGCGGAGGCGCGCTTTGCGTACTGCGCTTTGCTTTGCCTCGTTACACACCTCGTTACACAGCCGTTACATACCTCGTTACAGACCCAACCCCAGCCCGGGCCAGCGCTCCCCCTTTTTGCCGCAGCTTGGCGCGCTTTGCGTACTGCGCTTTGCTTTGCCTCGTTACAGACCTGGTTACATAGCCGTCACACACCTCGTTACAGACCCAACCCCAGCCCGGGCCAGCGAGCGACCCTGCTTTTTGCCGCAGCTTGGCTTGCGTTGATGCGCTCCTGATTCTGCTTGTCAGGATTTTTCCCCGTTACAGACCTGCGTAACAAGGACCTCCGTTACAGACCTCCGTAACAAGATTCGTACCGCGTCGCGCGTTACAGACCCCTAAAAAAAATCATAGCCATATAGGTCCTCTTCATATAGATCCCCTTCAAACGTTAGAGCCGCAGTTTTCAGGGGACTTCAAGTAGTGGGCCCAGGCCCCTATGCCGCGCTGCATGGCATGGCGCTCTCTGCGGGCGGCTTCGCATCCGACCAGCGCTGCAACCCCGACCGCAAGGTGAGATGTTGGGCTCGACGGTGGAATCCTCTTGGAGCACCCCGTTTGTTGGGTTGGTTTAAACAAAAGAGGCACTTCTCATTTTGGGGGAAACCAAGACCGAGCTCTGGGAGTTATCGAATTTGGTGACAAACCGAGAGGGCGTGCATGTTGAAAAGTTATTGCTGCAAAAGGCGTGCCTATGAGTCAACGAGCGTTCGCTCGAACAAGTGAAGCACGGAAACACGGCTACTGTGGAATCCCAAAGGTTGCAAAAGGGAGAATTCGCTTCGGTGTTTGTACCGTTCTTCGTTGCCTCTCTTGCAATTTTGGGTCGGTTTAACACATCTGCCTTGCAGGCTTACTCTTGGCGCAAAGGTCTTCATGTCCGGCTTACTCTGTGGTGGGCTGCTTGCCTCTGCCTTCTGGGCATGTCGCTTGATTGAACGCTTTGGGGTCGTTTTGAGAGTCAAGGGAAGCCGCCCGGATTGCTTTGGGAGAGAACGGATGAGAATCCACCGGCCTTCGGATCTGCCAGTCGGTGGGCTACACGTTGCTCATGGAGCTGCAGTGGATCAGAGACCCACAGGCCGGCTGAAAAGGGAAGTGGCTCCAAAGATGGGAAGGAAGGGGATTTTTGGGCAGGTGCCTTCTGCTGTAAGCTTTGGAACTGAAAGCCAATAAAAAGCGGAAGGGGGTAGGATGAAAATTGGCACTGGACATGGATGGCGGCGTCTTGCAGAGTTGCGAGGCGAATATCGAGAACTGGTACATCACGGATATCGAGAAGATTGTCCAGGCCAGGTTTGGTGGACTTGGGTCTTCCTCTTTGCTTCCAGCCGTTGGGCTTGTGTGGACTCCACGTTTTGCGATGAAGCGGTAAATCCACCACGAAGGGCATGGTACCAATTCAAGCTGGGCATTTGGGGGCCGCTTGGTTGTGCCGCCGGAGCTGCCAGCTCCGGCGGCAGTTGCAGGAAGCCTGGCAGCTGAACCCGCACGGTGCACATGTGCTGCCGGGTGAGTCCTTCGTGGCGGTCGGCCAGAACCCCAAGGCGCCGCTTTGAATTGGGTTAAACAAAAATCGCGGAGCTGGGTTCATCATGTTATTTTCAGACATCCAGATACATGCTGCTACTAAAGTTGCATGCTTGCATGATCGGCTTTCAACAGTTCCCTCACTATAGTCGGGGCCCAGCCACAACTTGCATCGGGACAATGGTGAGGCTTGAAGGGACAGACTTCAAGTAGGGAAATGGTCCTGCTCCTGACTCCCGGGTATGTTGCCACGAATATTGTCTTGAATTCTGTTTGAACAATGTTTAGAAACGCGTCTGAAGGAGGCAAAGTCTGAAGCATGGAGGGGGTGGGTGTGTCTTTTTGAGGGTAGCCCTTGGTTTGTGGTGTCAAAGGGAAACCAAAAGACAACCATGTCGGAGGTCTCTAAAAAAGAAACCTCCCCTTATGTCAATTGCACATCGCTGTTTCTCAAAATCGGAGACCCTCCACCAAATCAAAAATAGTTTGTTCCCTTGTGATTCCCTTCGAACACCAGTCAGAAAGGCTTCGAAAACCATTTTGAGAAGCCTGGCACGGCACGGAGCGTGCGCATGTGCCAGGTGGGAAGCTCCATCCGTCAGACGCAGCACACGCAGCTGGCCCGAGGCAAGGCCCTCAGAGCCACGTGGCCTGTGGGGCTGGCACGGTGTGACAATCTGTTCGGTTTCTGCCTGCGCGCACGCCATGTCCGTCTTGGATGACTCATCCATTTCACATGCATCACGCGAAGCATGTTCTTCTTTTTTTTGGTTCAAGAGGAATATCTATTGTCGCTCCCCCCTTCGTGGCACCTGCCTCTTGAGTTTATTTTGTAGGTATTCATAACAGTTGGATGATGTTGGATGGCAGGCCACGCCAGGTGCTGGTAGTTTGGCGCAAGAGCCACTGTGCATCTCGCACTGCAGGTACTTGGAAGAAGTATCCCATCCTGCAAGTGCCCGCATCCCGCATCTTTGCGACTGAGGCTGGCAGACCGTGTTCTTGCCAAAGTAATTGCAGGAAGTCAATCCGTGTGTTGCGGATTGTTGCCCGCTAGATATGCCTTCGCAAGCTGGCAGGACATCATGGTGCCCCAGGCGGACACTGAGGCGGATGGGCTCCGGTCAGTTGGGACTTCGGGGTTTGGCATCGGCCTCTAGTTGAGGATGCTATGCACCCCACGAGATATTTTTCCATGAGAAACAGAAGTGATCTACCGCAAGATAGCATGTGAGGAAGGAGTTTCCGAACTCAAGTCTCATTTTGGACATGACGATTATGCCAAACCAGCGGAGTAAGGCGAATTTGCGAATGTTCGATGGGCGTTTGACAGTTTGGCTGATGGGGTTGGCAAGAGCAAAGCATGGTATTGTGACAGTGCTGTGATTCCAGAACATGTTGACTCGCCAGTTCATCCGACTGAGCGATTCCTTGGGGACGCATGCCATGCTGGAGATCGTGGATATTGGTCCAGAGGCAGGAGATCGTGGCTGTCCACCGAGTCGTTGCGCGGCCGTGTGTGTCTGACAGCCCCATTGGTGGTTTGGGGGTTTGACCCCTGTAGAGGGCAATTGGGAACCGCCTTCCCCGAACCGGCAAACCACCAGACCAAACCGCCAATTTGGGGCGAAGCTGACAAAAGCTGTGGCAGATGAACAGAGTTCTCACTTGCGATGGGTGAGTGTTTGCAAGCTTGGTACTTTTCAATTACATCAGTCCCAGGAAACCACTCAGCCCAGCGCATGTTTTTCCCAGGCCCTTTCTTTGGATTTCTGGAATCAAGCCCTCCGCTGAGTGTCTAGTTGACCCCCCAATGAACACTGATGAACACCCCAAAGCACCCCTGTGAATCCTTCCCCCCCCCAATGAACCTTCTAATGACCGTGCAATGAAGCCCCGGACAAACTCCCCCCCATGACCCCCCTAGTGACCTTGCACTGAAGCCCCGGAAAAAAAGAAGAGCACAACACCAAACAACAAAATATCCTAACGCGGGTACCACCCGCTTTCCATCCCGGAAAAAGCCAAGTTTCATGTCCCGAGGGCTGCGAGCTGGACAGCTGCGGCCTGCTGCTGCGCTGCCGCAGCCGCGAGCCCACGGCGGGGTCCCTGCTGCGGTTCCTCACGCCGCCTGGCGGTGCATCGGGGGCCGCAGTCACGTCCCAGGAGTTGAAGGCGGCGTTTCTGGATCCGACAAAGGCAGAAGTATATCAATGCATCAAATACATAATATGCATATATTGCAATACATATATATATATATGTATGTATATATGTATATATATACCTGGCCCCGGTTTGTCCTTCATTTTTGGGTCCGACCTTGATTTCGGGGGAGAATACGGCCCTGTTTAAAAAACACGCCCCTTTGCCCAAAATACGGGTTTTTGCTTTTTGGGTATCCTTATTATTCAAACGAAAGCCCACACCGACCCCTGTAGCAGCTGCACCTGAGGCCCTTGCCTGTTTCCTACCCCATTGCAGCCACATGATCGAGAACTTAGGCTTAGGAACTGAGGCACATGCTGACCGATTGGACACCCAAAACCACATGCAAACGGGAGCAAACAACCAGTGCAAGAGGATATTCGTTGAAGAAGGCTGAAACTTCCCCATCGATCTGCGCATGCGCTAGTCAAAACCACGCTGATCCCCATCAGCCTGTTCAAGCGCGTGACGTGCACAAATTAACGCCTTAGACACCACATGCTTATGAAGCGCACGGATGTCAGAACGACGGCTCAGCCGTGAAGGCCTCCCTATGTAATCTTCTTGAATCTGAACCGACTCAGCTAAGGGATTAATGCAAAAGCCCCCTGAGCCACACTCAGTCACTATGCGGCAGGGGGCATGGTGAAACATGTGAAGCTTGGGCGTCAATGCGAAACGGTTGGCGCCCTGACCATTGCAGATCTTCACGCACTTCATGTAGGAGATCAGGAAACCAAAGAGCCATTTTGCCAAGCGCAGACCTTCAGGTTTCCGAATCCAAAAGCCCCTCTGGTACATGAAGGCCACGCCGGTGTTGATCATCCAAGTTCCTTCCGCCTAAGTGGGGTCAAGTAGCAATGATGTATGAGGAAGGGGGCAGATAAACCGTCTAGAAACATCCAAAACAAGCGACAACCGTTGTGAGAAAGGTTTGGAGGGGTACAATTTGAGGTTTGGTTTCCAAAACCATTTTGGGGGGGTGGAGGACCCAAAGCCCAAACCAACATATGAAACAAAATCAAATCAAGCTTCAGCTGCGGCGCCACTGCAAGCAAAAGAGGGTCTTCTGTTTTGCCATCTACAAAGCGGTTGCACAGGTTCTCCAAAAACTGCATCAGGTGCGTACTCGTAGATCCCTTGCTCCACATCCCTACTGGGCACTTCTTGGAAGATGGAAATGCGAGGGTTTCCCTTGAAATGTCGTAGGAGTGGGCTTGGACGCGTTTTCTCTTGCAAAAGTCCTTGAACTCAGCAGTCATCCAAATAAACACATCGTTGACCGAAGCACCAGCGCCACAGGGAAGAGAAAGGTCATCGCTTCGTTCCATGATAGACACCAAACTGGAGGCAATCCAATGTTTGGCAATACCCAAGTGCATGTTATGCCAGATATCGGTGGCAAAGAAATGGGCAAGCCGGGTTCGGTCCAAGTAGGGGTGTCCACGCAGGATGGTTGGTTCCGAATCCCATGGTAGCGAAACTTCCAAGGTACTCAGCCAAGATGGTTGTGGTGTCAGCTGCTCAAACGGATAAAGCTGCGTCCCATCCCCTGAAATTTCCTGGCCGGCCAGGCAGAGGTGACAGATCCCTGTGCAAGGTTTTTTGGATGAGGCAGCCTTTGGGACATGACTGAAAGTCCTTTTCAAGGAAGCCAATTTCGCAAGTGCCGGCAAATCTCCTTTGTTGTTAAGGTGGATTAGCCACACATGATGCTGGCCATCCTTGCTGGTGATGCCCTCCGACGCCAAAGCCGCACAGTCATCAGCAAACAGGCCAACAAGCTTGTCCAAAGCAGCAGGGTGTTCCTTTGACACAGCGCGTAGCATCGTGGCAAACATGAACTGCGTTCCCCAAGTCTTGCCGATGAAGTTCAAACCCATGCCCTTTCTGTGCAAAGGTAGCTTGTGCTGGCCCCTCGAAATGTAGGCTTTTGTCCCGCGTCCCAGGCACCCATGCACTGACAGAACCCAAAGGGGTTGGTGTTTCAAACTGCGGCCTTCGTCCGAATGACTGTACACAGGAATACAGCGAGCCACTTCAATAGCGCCCCTGCTAGCAGCAGCAAAAATGCTATGGTTGGGATACAATTGCTGGTACCTGCGCCAAAACTCGCGGAGGGTTGTTTCCATAGCAGCGTATGTAGGGACCCCAACCAACTGCCTCGGCAGCCTATCAGTGTCCATAAGATAGGCCACCCAATTGCTGAGCTTTATGTAGGGGAAGCTCTTCAGAACGCCAGGTCCCAAGTCTACTGTGTCGACCGGGACAGGAGCACAGTAGCCATGCGCTCTGAAAATGCTATGGCAGCCAACTTCCGCATCTTGCACACGTACCCGGGAAAGCTGCTTCATAACCATGCTGCAGTTTGGGTTCGCGTTCACTTGCGCCTTCGCCAGCTCCACCACATGCGAGCAAGGAACCTCAGCAAGCAAGCGCCGAGCAGTCGCACGCAAAAATGTACCAAAACAAATGCGCACGCACAATGCTGGGTGATGCACTCAAGCACTTTCAAGAGTTCCTTTCTCTCCCCAAACGCGCGTGCTGTTCAAAACGCTACCCAACTCGGCGGAATTGGTCGGCACGACCCCCCGTGACATACACAAAGTATGGAGGACAAACAGGGTTTGCCCGGTTTAGGGCCCCTTCCCCCCCAGAACAGGCTTTGTTCTGGCAACCCACATGCTTGTGAAACTCTGAAATCAAGGCCGCTTCCAGCATGTGGATCAAGTCAATGCTGGATGACATGGCTATCAGCCACATCGAGGTGTAGCCCTTCTCTATGTATAGAGGAAAACGCGATGGCGGATTTGCGGTAACCCCAATCTTAAAACTGCACAGCCTGATTCCAATCGCCTCACGAAACGCGGTAACTTTGTCTTTTGCGTGAGCCAAAATCGCACCACATGATATTTTCTTTCCGGGGGCCGATGGCAACCAATGGGTGGAAATGCCATGTTGGCGGAGCAGGGACCAATCAAAGCTCTCATAGATAAAGTTCCCCCCCATCTCTGCCAAGATGTTGAGGCTGTCTTTGAGGTCCTTGGGATGCGCAAAGTGCAAGGCGAGGAAACGGGCAAAGGGTTGAAGGGTGCAGGACTTGAGGGGCCTTAAATGACCCTTGTTTGACTGCCCAGATCTAAAGTAAACTACTGTTGCAGGTTTCACATCAGGGTTGGTTCAGCCAGCTACCCAAACAAGGACTTTGTAACATATCTTTTCCTGGCCAGCGGCTGCTGCCATGAGCAATTGGCGATGCTGCTGCGCAGGACCACTCTCGGCTGTTTGGTTGTCACCCCGGCAAAAATAATCCGAATACTCATTGGCCATTTCCTCTGGGAGCTCAAGGGGCATGTTCTCTTGTTGCGTCCTTAGATTAACCAGCAATGAAAAAGCGTACAGTCGATCAGGATTCAGCTTAGCATTTGACACATGAGTCCAAGCCGCTTCAATAGCTTTGCTCCTGGTTGAGTAATTTCCAAGGTTACCCCAGCAGTGCGCTTCTTGCCCGTCAAAGGGCAATCGTAGGTGAGCAGGTCCAAAAGGTCATCCATGGCGTATGCAAATCGAATGTCAAATCAAAGTCGGGCTTCAGTCTTCAGAGGGCAACTTGTTTTGGTGGGACCAACCCCCTAAAGAAAGTAGAGACATATCAAACTATCGTGCAGGTTTAGACCTTGTCAGCATTCCAAGACCCCAAGCCTTTGCGCATTGTGCTTTCTTCGCTTCAGCGGCTGCGTTGCATCAAGCAGTTTGCAAACATGCATGCTGCATGTCCACATGCGTGGCCAATCCCTGCCAATAACATCCCGGGTTCCGGGCGCCATTGGAAATCAGCCGTGCGTAGTCATCGACAAGCTCGTCACGGTCGTTCTGCCTTGCGGCCCTGCCTGGCGGGGCCAACGCAGGGATCACAATTGTGTTTAAAAAAGGATGTCAAATATGGGCCGCAGGCCCGTGCGCATGATAGCAAGCGCGTGTGCAAATCGCATGAAACTTTCTCCATTACACGCCGTCCGCACAGCCCAGTAAGAAGCACGTGTTCAGCACGTGTTTCAACCCCATGCGCATATACATGCACACCATCAGGTGTGCATAAAAGCATGCACATACACCCCAAAGATTGCAAGCTGGCGCTTTGCGCTGCAATGGAAGCTTTACTCCATGAAATTGGTAAAGCAAAAACTCACTCGGAAGCCATGCCCTTTTGCTGGCTTCAGCAATCAAACCAACCGGCCCGTTGATCAGGAATTGTTCAGCTTCTGCAAGGTTTTCAGCAGGTTCCTGAGGCCATGACGCAATGCGAACTATGTGCATGTCGGCTATCGATCAGCTGTTGCCCATACAAAAAATGCATGCGTGTTCCCCTTGTTTCCTTTTTTTGGCAAGGTGCTTCCCAGCAGTCTCCTTTGTCGTCACTTTTGAGCACCTGATTCGATCTCTCCCCAGTTCTAACCACGGGTTGAAACGTAGCTTCGGCATACCAGCTCATTTTGCAAAAAGGGCACGCGACTGTTGACTGCTTGATCGCCGCCAGGGATTTTGAAGTCAGCCTAGGTGTTTTATGTTGGGGCCTCACGCCCTCAAGAAACAACATGTTATGACACCACATGCACATTTGGGCCTACCCGGCGGCACTATAATAACATGAGTTGAGGTCCTCACTCTTTGCCCCTGAGATCAGAAATTTCGGAGTCCTGTAGGTCTGTCACGTCCGCCTTGACAGATTCGATCGTTTCGAACTCGCTCTCCAGGATTTTGGTGGCGGCTTCCAAGCCCTGGATGCACCTTGGCGCAAACACCGTGCGCCGGGGAGAACGGGGTGGGGAAGTGAAAACGCAGTGGGAGGATTTGTCGGCTTATGAAAGTAGTCAACTAAGGGTTGAGCGTTTTAGCACGCCCCTGCTGAGTTTCATCG